TAACTCCACCCTCCCTGAGACCTGATGACTGCATTCCTCTGCTCACCCCTCCTTTATGGGTCTACTGAAGTGAGAATGTGAACAATAACAGCACAGAGGCATCTCTACCAGCGTGTTAGCACAGCCTGGACCTTCCGGTTCTGTAGATTAAGTGTTTTTCCTTCTCAGCACCTTATGTTCCACTCAAGCTCATGTACTGTACATCCTCAATAAGTGCCAACTGGACTCCATACGCAGTCTGACATCATGTTTAAAGGGTAGCTAGTCTTTTTCAACCAAACCTCTCTCCTATCTGTGGATTGCTGTTGTTTACCTTGCGTAACTGTTCACATGTTTCCTTTTATAAGTGTGTTCTTCCTCTGGCCTTACATGTTAGGCTCAGGCTTTACCTCTGTTAATCAGTGGTTAAAGGGAAGTACAACTGATTTTTCAAAATTGCTCATTCAGTGTCATAAACAATGTCAGACACCAGGCAGCGAATTCATAACCATTTGGTGTAATAACTTTCTGAGGGAGCTTTTAGAGGTGGACGTCTGGTTCCCTTCACCACCACTGTGAACCATTCTTACTCTAAGTTTCTCTAGAACAGAGCGTTTCACACCAAACCACTCTGAACCACTCTGTTTACCTCTTAACGGTTCAATTGTGGAGAAATTTTGAAAAATCGATGGACTTCCCCTTTTATAGGTGCACAATTTTTGATGCATTCTCACCCATGACCAGTTATGAAGACAGTTTAGACTTTGCTAGCATTTTTGGTGCTAATATGACAGCAGTCTAATCACAGGTACGAAAACAGAAGCTTTAGGTTGAAAAACACCCTCATTTAACACCCTCAACACAAGATATGAATAACTGACGTGGTCGATGTCAAATTTCTGCCGTCTGTAGTTTAAACTGGGGCCCGACCGATACTAAAATGAGCTGAAAAGTCTGACAACTGATAATATCAACTGATATATTTTTATATTTGTTAGTCATTTGTTAGTAATGAAAACATCCAAAACCCTGAAATTCAGGATTGAAACCAAAATAAAGTTTTTAAATTATTTTTAACAAGTCTTAATTATTTATTTACCATTTTATTTATTCTTTTCAATTAATGGGCTAAACAAAACTACAAGGGATTAATGAGAATACACTTTTATTATTGATAAAAATCAACTTTTAATGACTAAACTGATTGCATTAAATAAGAACAGTTCACATAAAGGCGTCATCCAGGTCATCCAAGGCGATTGGTATGTATATATATATATATATATATATATATATATATATATATATATAGCTGATAGTTTTAGTGTTTGTCCACTGCGGCTCAAACTGCTTGATGGTGTTTGTGCTGAGGGTGCAGGAAAGTGGGGAAAAAAAGCATTATTATTCAGCATTTCTCATTTTTATTACCATTAAAATGACTTGTAAAGTGTTGTTGTGGCACAGCAGTCTAAGGTTTTATCATCAGGAGATCATCAGTATTTTTACTGATACCGGAAAAAGCAGGTCATCAGCATCGGCTGATCTTATCGGCCAGCGAGTACATCGGTCGGGCCCTACTTGAACCAGTTCATGTCTAAATCTTCAGGGCAAAAACAAAAGATCTGCCCATTTAGTGGCAAAATCTAGAAGGTAAAAAGGGTAAAAGCTGTAGAAAGACAGTGTCTGAACTCGTCTGCTCAACAAACTGCAAGAGTGGCACCAAGGTCACTCAGAGTGCAGACGGGAAAACATCAAGGCAGCGACCGGCGGCCCCGCAATCACTGTGAAAGCCAACACAGCCCAGCACACTCCAGACCGCTGGAACCCCGACTGGTGACGCCCGAGTGCAGTATTCAGCACGGACTAGTCAGACTTCAGAGTACATCGATTTGCATTTGGATAACCGATTTTGCACCAGCATCACAATGAACGTGTTTAAAATAAAGGAACCAAAAGGACAAAACAGTGTCGGTGCGGTTTCCTGATGAGAGTGCAGTTTCACATCTGTTTTCGTGTTAAAGCAAAGTCACAAAGCAAATTTACAGTTTTAACACAAATGTAGTTCATCATGGGTCTCTGAAGTTTGCATCTTTAGTTTTAGCACTGGAGCTGCGAGGCTAATGTAGCTAACAAGTAATACCAATTAGCACCTTGCTAACTGCATGACTAATTTATCACACGCTTGCCTCAAAACACATCATAGGTTTCAAGATGGCTCCAACTACTGCAGTGATACCTTTATTCATTTTGTACAACAATTTTTTTGTTGTCATACAGTGTCAGAAACCACAGTCAGTGGCTTGTTCAGTTTGAACTGTGTTCAGCTGAAATCTGGCAAGCTGGACATTTTATTACCATCAAGCAGTAACTTTACCTTGCCTCGCAATTTCCCATACATGTACATACTTAGATGGGGTGTTGGGTCCATTCAGGCACGTCAACGGCGCCGCCATTTTAGGGAGGTCAACACCGCTGCTGGACTGCATTCAGTACCATTACAGAGCGGCAGTTTAAGAAAGATACTGTCCAAAATTACACTATTTCAGGAATATTACACTCAGAAAGTGGGATAGGATTATATAACGGAGGGAACGCAGTGATCCACACTCATGTCTGTGTGATGCGTATTGTTTGTGTGGTGTTTGTGTAGATATGGCCGTGTGGTTGGTGAAGCACAGAGAATCTGCTGATGTGATTGTTTTTCTCTGGTTTTATATGAAGCTTATTTCATTTAATAGTCTATTCAGGGGGTCTTGACTTGATGTAGTAGTTATTTATTTACAATGATGGTTAAAGCTTTGTAGCAGTAAATTACAGCATTCCTTAATCCGTGTAGATATTCATAATAGATTAACGTTAGCACCTTCTTACACGAGGCTGAAATTAGCTTCTTTCCCAGCTTCTTATTCAAATTTTCCCGTTCCACCTTAAATGCTGCAGCTTCAGACACCAGAAAGTGACTGCTGCACCATTTAAGGTGGAACGGGAAAACTCGAACAAGAAGCTGGCGAATAGGAAGCCAAGTCTACTGTGTTTTGGGGGGTTTATTTTATTTTTATGTGTATTAAGATTAGAAGTGATTCACACATTGATGGATTTGCTGATGTGTGATTATGTTTCTTGCGCTACACTCGGTTTTTAACGTCCGGTACAGACTGAATACTCTCCTGTTGGTCTGGACAGCTAATTATCACGATCGGTTATTAAAGTAAAAGCTACCGAGAGCAGATCCGTGGAGCCCAGATTAATCTGTGTCTGAGGATTATAACTAAACAAATGTGGTGAAAATCGGTTGAGTAATAAGGAAGCTGTGGCCGATTTAATCCTGAGACTCGTCGTCTCTCAATAAAAGTGAATCTGTTCATAAGCGGATCTTGACCTCTCCAACATGGTGGACTCAGCTAGAGAACAACAGGCAACATGGCATCTAGATATGGATATCTATGGGTAATACCAGTTAGCGTCATGCTAACTGCATGACTATCACGCTTGCCTCAAAACACAATTTAGGTTTCAGGATAGTTCTTACTACTGCAGTGATACTTTTATCCATTTTTGTACAACCAATTTTTGTTGTCATTCAATGTCAGAAACCACAATCGAAGGCTTGTTCAGGTTGAACTGTGTCTCATCTTGATGGTCAGCGAGAGCAGCTGGTTACAAAGCTGAAATTTGGCAAGCTGGACATTTTTTTTACCACCAAGCACTACCTTGCCTCGCCATTTCCCCTCGGTTGAATCCTTGATACCACCTTAATAACTGCTCCGTTATTACATTAGCTTACATGAAGTTTTTAGGTGATCCAGAGGGGCGAGGAATTGAATGGACATTAGCATCAATATCAGCAGCAGAACTTGCCTAGAAATTAAGACCCGATACTCTTTTCAAACCCTAACAAATGGCAGACAAAGCTATTTATAAGCCATAGTAATGAAATAATGCTTAATATTTCACAACCATAACAGCGGATTTGTTCAGACTGGGCTGTAGGTAGCAAACGACATCACTTTGCTACCTTGCTAGGTAGCAAGCTAAAGGCTACATAGCCAGCAGCAACACGCCTGCAAAGCTTAGAGCCAGACAAAACATTTATTAATGGCATTAATGAACACGGTGTTCGTATTTTAAAGAAAAGGTCAAGTAATGGAGGATTCTGCCCATTAGCGTTGTGCTAACGACATGCCTAAATCACTGCTTCAAAACACACAAGTGGCCAGAAGTAGACAAAATTCAGGCTTCAAGATGGCTCCTACTACTGTCTCTAGCTATGATACTTTTACTCATTTTAGTAGTTGCCACAGCTGTACCGTGCTGCTCCGCCGTGTCCTCGGTGTGCTGGTGTGAGTGGATCAGACACAGCAGTGCTGCTGGAGTTTTTAAACACCTCAGTGTCACTGCTGGACTGAGAACCAAAAATATCCAGCCAACAGCGTCCTGTGGGCAGCGTCCTGTGACCACTGACGAAGGACTAGAGGATGACCAACACAAACTGTGCAGCAGCAGATGAGCTATCGTCTCTGACTTTACATCTACAAGGTGGACTGACAAGGTAGGAGTGTCTAATAGAGTGGACAGTGAGTGGACACAGTGTTTAAAAACTCCAGCAGCACTGCTGTGTCTGATCCACTCAGAGCAGCGCAACACACACTAACACACCACCACCACGTCAGTGTTACTGCAGTGCTGAGAATGATCCACCACCCAAATAGTACCTGCTCTGTGAGGGTCCATGGGGGTCCTGACCACTGAAGAACAGGGTAAAAGGGGGCTAACAAAGTATGCAGAGAAACAGATGGACTACAGTCTGTAACTGTAGAACTACAGAGTGAAACTATATGGTCAGTGCAAAAGTGACTGATTACAATTGGGGGGTGGGGGGTGGACCGTAGTTTTTCATTTTTGGCTGAAAATGACTTGAAAGTAAAGAGTTGACCAGTCAGTGCCCTAGATACGTATGGGCAGGTGCTTCACTCTTAAAAATGGAAAATATTCTCAAAAAATAGAGAGTTTACAGTACAAAGTTTCACTTTATAAGACTTTATTTACAACAACTGATTTAAAACATTGTAAAAAAGCCAGTTACATTCAAAATACATGGATATATTTTTTTTAATAAATATTTGATCCCATATTGTTCTTAAACTGCTAGATAATTTTCCTTATAGTGGTGTCAATTTAAGTTCCTTGACTTTCCATAATGTACAGTTTAAAATGTGCAGACATCATATCAGTTGTGACTAAATTCATTACTGTTCTCTAATGTTTATCAGACAAACTACGCTAGTCATGAGAAATTTATCCAGTGGACGCAAAGACAAAGTAAAAAAATGAACAATAATCACAGTTTGCATTACCTCTTCATATCTGGCTGCCCTGAGCTTTATTCATTTTTCCTTCTTTTGGTATTATGCAAGGTGAATTTATCTCAGTAGCTGTGCCATGGTCAGTGCGAGTATAGTCCTGGTCAGCATTATAACCCAGCCAGCCCAGTTCTGTCCCGTTCCACTGTAGAGTCGGAGTCCCTTTACGTTGGTCTGGATGAAGGTGGAAAACGCAGACACCCTGGCGTAGACCCCTGGCCGGTTGGGCTGAGCGCAGCCCAGACCGAAACTAACAATGCCAGCCTGGAGCCAAGTGCCATTCGACGACAGACACACCAGTGGACCACCAGAATCTCCCTGAACGAACACACACACACACACACACACACACACACACACACACACACACACAAGTACACGGGAAAGAGTTAGACGTTTGCTGACACTGATACTGACCGGCCACTTTATCAGAAACCCCTCTCTTGTAGCTCCACCTCGCTGGTGTACAGTTAGACACTCATCTGTTGATGCACAGTTTATCTTAACCATTCTCTAATGCTTCATCAGGGGTCAGTTTCTAACCACAGTCACCACCACTCAAATAATGTCTGGTCAGCGACTGACCAATGATTAGAAACTGACCAATGATGAATTGGGTAAAGGGGACTGATCAGCAGCAGATGATTCAAAGTCTGTAAGTGTTCACCTACACAGTGGACCTGTAAGGTAGGTGTTTCATATGCTAGTAAAAAAACGCACAAGAAAGGTGTTTCTAATAAAGTGGCCAGTTAGTGGAAGTACAAGGTTGGTGTTTCTAATGAAGTGGCCAGTACGTAGAAGTACAAAGTAGGTGTTTCTAATAAAGTGGCCAATGAGTGGAAGCAAAAGGTAGGTGTTTCTAATAAAGTGGCCAAGTGAGTGGACGCACAAGGTGGGAGTTTCTAATAAAGTGGATGGTATAATCCTATTCTGTCATTTTGTAAACACATTGTGAACAGTAAAACATAAATTAATAAAATCAATCTTACTGATTACATATGAAACAAAAATAAGAGAGATGCATTGATGGTTTCAATCATAAAAGCAGAACAAGCATGTCTGTGTGGCTCAGCTATGATGACAGTGTTCCCTCTTTCAATAAACAGATATCTCCTCTCACCTGGCAGGAGTCTTTGCCCCCCTCCTTGAAGCCAGCACAGAGCATGTCATAGCGGATGTTAACTTCCTCAGTGGGTTGGGTCTGAAACATTTCCTGACAGGCAGATTGATCGATGATTGGCACTTGCACCTGCTGCAGCGTCCCCACCCCCTGCAGAGAGACTACAGCCACACAGAGACTGAACATTGATGCACAGACAGGCTGAGAGTTAACAGTTAACAGACAACAGACAACAGACCCATACAGTCCAGCCGGAGTCTGACTCTGAAGATCAAATTAGACTGACTGTGTTTATTAGTACTGTGTTTTTATCCCTTTTAGGTCTATAAAACCACCTGATATTATACAGATTTATAGTCAATGTATGCATTCGGCAGACATTCTTATCCAGAGTTTAATCACGTTATAGATGAATTAAGAGTCTTCCTGAGTACCGTTATTGGTGTAGCATGGTGTGCTTGCCTGGTTTTTGAAACGAACCCCAGTCTACTGTGAGGAGGAGTCACATTAGTCTAGCATTAGCCTTTACGGAGGCTGAACTCTGAAGTCCAGCAGGGTTAAAGGAGCAGTAAAAAAAAAAATTTCCCACTTTTCTCAGATGCCAAGACATGTTTGGTGTCCAAATTATGCTTTTTTAGGTTTAGTTCTTCAGTTTTAGTTACAAGGCTAACATTACTATCTTTACTGTTAATATATTCTCAACCAGTTTAAACTACATCCAGCTCTTCATTAAGGTCGCGTAGACTGACGATGTGGTTTATGACGCAGTATGATGTCCTGTGGACTACAAAAATATAAAAAACTTCACTGTTTGACTGAAGGCTGCAGGCGTTGGGTGACTATCAACATGTTTGTTAGCAATGTAGCTCTAGCATTTAGCTAAAGAAGCTAAGGATGCATCCCAATTGCACACTTAATACTAATAGTAACACTAGCACTAACTAGGGTTCGAGTATGCTGTATAGCTACAAGCGTCAAAGTTGAGTATACTTAGAAATGGTGTGTAAATGTGAGTTCATCTCAAATCTGTTAAATATTCAATAAAAAACAAATATGTTCTATGTATTTATTTGTTAGCGTTTCTGTAAGAAATTTGTAGACGCACGTAAATTCGTTAGCTTGCCTCACCAGCCATCTAGGCATAGAACAGCTTTCAGAAGCAGCTAACTTGCTAATAATTAAGCAATAGAACACTCGAGGTTGTGTGTTATCTCGAAATAACATCACGGCTGTGATTTGGTCGCCGTAGATCATCACAGCCGCGATGTTATTGGCGATAACACACTCCTCGAGTGTTCTATTGCTTTAATACAACAGTTAAATAAATACAGTAATAAATTAATAAACTGGGCCGTGAACGCGGCGTTTAATATGTTTTAATGTTCGCAGTTCCTTCACCAAATTATAGTTCCTTAACGAGCAGCTGGTTGCTACGCCAGAGCAACGAACTCCGCCCACTCGCTGCACAGTCTGCTGTAAGCCTCGCCTTTTGAAGTACAGACTGAGCCATAAAACCGCTGAAATATCAAGTTCAGCTCAGTTTTGTCAGTTTTTGCCAGATCATTATTAATGTTGTTTTGTTCCAGCCAGTCTGTAAAGCATCTTACAGCCCATTTAGTTTGGCGAATGGTGTTGGGTTCATTTCTGGCTGATTCCAGGTTGTTCAGCTGTTCTTCTGTCACAGCTGCCAACTGAAAAGCTGCTCAGTGGTGATGACAGTTTGGGAATTTAGTGTCGTCTCATCTTCAGAGTCTGACCAAATCGGCTGTCGGTCAAATGTGATCTTAAAAGTGTCCATTTTCTGTTTGTGGCAAAGTAAGAAGTAAAAATGTTCAAATGGCTTCAGTGTCTCCTATAGCTGTCAAAGTCGTTGCTTAGCAACAGCGTCTCAGCGGAGTGATACAGTGTTTGTGAAAAACCCATGATGTTATGGTGAAATAACAGCACGGTTAGAACGCCTCTCAACCAATCAGCTCGCGTGGCCAAAACTAACTGTTGTATAATACCTGATAACAGGTAACTATTTTATTTGGACACTAAATGTGCAAATTTGATTTTTTGCCATATCATTCCTTTTAACAAGATACAAACAAGATAAACATGTAAAATGCAACCAAATGTAATTTAGCTTAAAGGCAACATAACACAAAGCACATCAGTTCTTTTAACATGTGTTAGAAGAACTGGTGTACCAATAAGAAAAAAGAGCTAATTAATATAAAACAATATTTATATTTACTTTGTGAATTTCTGCTTTTGAGTTTAAAAGGTCCACATGATGGAAAACCAAATTTTCCTCATATCGCAAACAGTGTGAAACTTTCAAAATGTATTATTCTCTCCCCAGTTGAAACAGTCTATATAAATATTTAAAATAACCCGTTCTGAATTGATATCACAAAAACATGTATCACATCCTCTAAAAAAACAAACATTAAGACCATTTTCTGCTAATTTTCAGCAAAAAATAAAAATGTACAGAAGTGTGTTCTCAATAGAGGGCAGCCAGTTAGACAAAAGGTTGTTTACACACACATCGGTCTTAAAGGCACAGAAACAATAACGCCTGTTTTATTATAATTGATAATGAAAGGTAGGAAAATAGTCATTAAAAATGATTTATGACCATTTTTTGTACATAAAAAACTAAATGAATGTCATTAAGTGGTTCTTAAAATAAAATACAAAATGTAGTCCCTTAAGAAATCTAAGAATTGTGAACTGACAATCTTATCAGTCAGAAAAGCACTATTTATCTAAAACTACTGTAGTCGAATTATATCAGCTAATATTACCTTTACAGATGCTCAAAATCAGCATCTGTGACTAAATTTTAATATCACACAATATTCCTTCCTCTGAATCCTCATCTGAACCTTCCTCTGTTCTCCTCAAGTGCTCTTCATGACCCCGTCTCAGCACTCACCTCCGTCTCTGATGTCGCCCCAGCCGGTGATGGTGCACATCGTGCCTGCGGCGAACTGCACGTCCGAGTCTGGCACGCAGATGGGCTGGATGTGGTCAGACCAGACGACTGGCGTGGCCAGCTGCACCAGAGCGATATCCTGGCCAAGCTGCGGGTCTGTGTAGCCATACGGGACCAATATCTGTCTGATATCATGGGCTGATTCGTATGGGTTCCAGCCGCTCTGGGTCAGCCGACCGGCGTAGATCTTGTAGGAAGATGTGTCGGACGGACTGAGAAGAAAAGACGAACAAAACGTTAAAGAAAGTCTTCCTCAACTAACTTAATGCAGCTAATGATGAACAAGAAGGCACTTTTACATAACACTACTGGGTTGTTACATGCCGTCATTTGTTATCAGCAATGCTGGACTTGGAAGAAATATCCTCTTAAGGAAGCAAATGAGCCGGAATAGAGAAGGACAGCAGGCATGATGTGATGGGCCATAAGTATAACATCTCAATATCAAGTACATTGATGCCTTAGTAGCTAGCTAGATAACTGTCATGTTCCACCTTAAATGATTACACCATTTAAGTTGGAACAGGAAAATTCCAACAAGAAGCTGGTGAATATATCACATATCACTGAAGAATTAGGGGTGGGTGATAATAAATAATTGCCCCCTCTTTGAAGGCATATGATGCCCTAAATGTAACTAAATCCCAGCAGTGAGGAGCTGAACTTTACCCTCCTCTGCTGTCACTGCAGACTGGCAGGGTCGCCTACAGAGCAGCGCTGGTAGCTGTTAATGAAGTGATGCTCTTTTTATTTGAGGGTCCCATTTCAGAGGGAAGATTTCAACCACGACCCCTTATAACTCAGTTCCAAGGGGCAAGGAGACACTCGAAAACTAGGGGTGGGGTAAAAAGAAGAAATGGGACTGGGCCTTTGTTTTTCTGAGTTTCATGAACAGGAAAACCACAGTGCCACATTTAAAAGGCCATACTGTGACGTAATCAATCACGATAATCATAACATATCGTCATATTGGCCACCTCTAGGTCATTAGACAGAATGAAACCCTGTAAAGACAGATTGAAACATCTCCAGAACAGACACCTCCAAACTCACTTTGGGAAACAGTGAGCTGCAGACAGAACCCAGTCTGCGGCGATGAGTGTTCCTCCACAAACATGAGAAGATTTCTGAAGAAAGAAGAAAACACAAGGAGAAAAGGGTCAATTTACACTGCTATTTCAGGGTAATGAGGCCTACCGCCTATAAAAGTGCTAATCACCGATAGTAATTCAGCGATTAACTGCTTATGAAGGCAATCCAAAAACCAAGTACAGATAATACACAACACTGGAGTTTCACACAGAATGCAGATCTTTCACATGAAGGCACGAAAAGCTCTGAACAGTCGACACTGAGCCGCAAGAACAAACCACCCCTGTTCAGGAATCCATAAAGCCAAAACTAGCAAGTGATTTTAAACTAGTGATAAGTATGAATTTTCAAATAGTCCTGAAAGTAAAAAAGGTAATAGCAAATTAGCATTTTGATACGCAAATAAGCTTTTTTCTAATGTTATATGTTCACATATTGTAGAGCCACGAGGTGTCTGAAATCTATACTCCACCAGAGGGCAGTGTAGAGCCTGGGTCTTATGTATAAGTCAGAGGTCCTAATTTGTTTAGTCAAGGCGTGTCAAACTGGTGACCTTCCCGGGCCAAAGTGCTGTGGGATCAGTGTTTACTCTCATCTAATGCTCTGAATTCAGCTCATGAAGGTCTTGCTAATTAGCTCATCAGCTGAATCAGGTGTGTTTAATGAGGCAGTGTGCTGAAGTCTGCAGTGGTTTGGCCCACGAGGACTGGAGCCTGACACACGTGGTTTAGTTCAATGAAAGACTACAGTAGTCGGCTAAAGACTACAGCACATCGGACAAAAAAGCATCATTAAACAAAAGTTTTACACTCCACAACAGAATTACTGAACAGATTTAACAGAGATTTAATGGAATAAAAGCTTCTACATCATTTAGTGAATCTATCATGTTCAGTATCAGCTAAATAACTCACCACAAACTCACTACTTTCAAGTTAAGTTGCGTTGTGACTAGGTTAATAACGATAGCTGAGGTGAAAAAAAGACTACATTTGTTTATTTTAAAGATTTTAGATTGACGAGTGTAAATTTAAGCCATGTCACCTACTATGGGTTTGTGGTCTGGGTTTAATATAGCACAGTAATAGATGAAGCAGTGTCACTGTTTTTGGTGGCGTCTGCCCAGTGTGTGCTGTAGCCTTAAGAGTCATATTCTTTTTTTTATCCACGTTTTATGATTTATATATATCAATAACAATTATATATATGGTTGCAGATTACAACTGAATCCCCCTCCCTCACCCCTCCCTTTCCAAGCATGTAGTAAAACCTACAGTGGCCAACAGGTTTTCTGCCTTCGCCTGTCCTGATTTTGATTTGCTTCTTCGTGTTTTTGCTTCTTTGCCGATGAGGATTCGCCCTCTCTCGCTTTCTCTTGAGCTAAATAAAACATTTGATCCTCCATTTGTCAAAATTTGGGTTCTTAAACTTCTCACAACACAAAGTCGTTAGCCAGCAATGGCAGCAACCATTGTTACTACTTCTTTTTTCCCCACCAGAGCCACAGCGGCACCAATTCAAAACGCTGCTTCAGCACAAAAGCGAGAAAGGCGCCCTCTAGAGCCAGCGTTTGGTTTGTCCATTCTGGGCTACTGTAGAAACACGGCGGCGCAACATGGCGGCCTCTGTTGGAAGAGGAGCTTCTCCCTATGTAGATATGAAGGGCCCATTCTAAGCTAACGAGAACACAATGATTCATAGTTACAGGCGATTATACACTAATGTAATATGGTTTTGATTATTATATTCCATTTCTGCTAGACGATCCTGCTAAATCTTACACACTGCACCTTTAAAATGCTTTTCAGTTCCTTTACATGACAAATGGTTGTACTGATATGCCCTAGGAAGGCTTTACAAATAGATATCTTTCTGCAATTTATATGCCTGACTGCATAATTATTTATTAGTAAAAGTCTACATTAAATTCAGTAATGGCTGCAGGGGAACATGCAAGTAGGAAATGTAACAAAATTATATGCTAGCAATTTATTTCTAATGTAGTCTGTCCACTCCTAATAAGCTGATATCTGAAGCCTAATCCTACACGCACAAATACACCTGACACATGAGGATCTTCTTACAGCAGCAGAAAAGAAAATATGCGCTGGTGGAATGTGGCCAGATCAGGCTGCACTTCCAGGGTTATGGTTGAGGAACAAAGAGGGCAAAGTAGACAGAAACTGAGGGGGTTTGTCATCGTTAAGGAGGAGTCAGACCAAGATTTAGCCGCTTCAGAAAAACAGGTCAAGTGATTACAAGAGCCCTGTAAGTGTATATGGAACGAGACGCTCCTCCAGTCTCAACCAAGGCTCCAAGCTTTAATAAGTTGTCAACAAAAGTGATTATGGAGAAAAGTCAGTGTGAAGACATGTTGTTTACTTAAATAAATAAATAAATAAAATAAAAAAAAAATAAAAAAACACTTTCCTGAACTGCTCTTTTTGTCAATCAGATCACATTTATGACAGGAGAGCACTGTTGTAGAGCCAAAGTTAAGCCAAACAGGCGGAATCAATTGATCACGTGACAGAGTTCAGGCCGTGATTAATCCAGGTTTAGATATTCAGGCCGTGATTAATCCAGACTTAGATATTCAGGCCGTGATTAATCTAGGTTTAAATATTCAGGCCGTGTTTAAACCAGGTTTAGATATTCAGGCTGTGTTGAATCCAGGATTAGATACTCAGGCTGTGTTTAATCCAGGATTAGATATTCAGTCTGTGATTAATCCAGGTTTAGTTATTTAGATTGTGATTAACACAGGTTTAGATAGACAGACTTTGCTTAATCCAGGCTTAGATATTCAGACTGTCATTAATCCAGGCTTAGATATTCAGGCTGTGATTAATCCAGGTTTAGTTACTCAGGCTGTGATTAATATGGGTTCAGATACTCAGACTGTGATTAATGCAGGTTTAGATACTCAGACTGTGATTAATGCAGGTTTAGATACTCCTGCCCACCAGAGTTAGATCAAACTAAGCCTAAAGTCAGGCAGGAAATACTGCATAGTGAGACAGAGTCCTGGATTGAGGTGGCTAACCTGCATAATGAAAAATATTAATATTACATGAACTTGATATTTGATAGTAAACACTCCCACTCCACCCCTCCATGACACGAATAAAGATGAATCAAGTTACTGGACAAAAACATAGTATGTTAAAAGATCCTATATTATTTTTACACTTTGCTGTGAGGCCCTAGGCTGTATCATATAGCCTGTATCCTTAATCAGGCAATGCTCAAGGGACCTACTATTCCCAGTCATAACACACCTGATCCACCAGGCAATTTTCCAGCCTTTCATGAGCTGGATCAGGTGCTTTGGGGCGGGGAGTCATTAAAACTGCTCGGAGCACTGGGGCCCTATGTTCTCAGGTGTAGTTTTGTAACAGGCACAGTAACGTGTTGGGCTGTAATCTGATTATAACCTACATTATCAACAGCACTGTCTTAGCAAGTTTTAAGTGGGGGAAATTTATCTAGCAATGCTGAGCTTGTGAAGCAACTTCGGTTGCTTGAAACCTAGATGAAACTGAACTGCACTTATTAGCTGCATGTAAAGTGTCTTGCAACTCACTTGGAACTCAGACGCAACAGTTACAAGTATCTTAACTTCGTGGAACAAGTTTCATGAAACAGCATATCAAAACAATGGTAACATGGCACATGATCATGTCAAACTACACACTTTCATACCATTTATTTTTCCAACAAGAAAATAAGTTCTGCTTCTAGGACAGGAGACATCAAGTAGGCTATGACTAACAAATATTTACAAAATTTTCAAAGGCAATTTATACATAGAACATACACACACACACTGTTGTCGAAAGAAAACCTTGTATCTCCATAATGAAAACTTTACAGGAGAAGGAAAAAAACTACTGTACTTTTAATGTAAGTCAATGGAACCAGACTTTTTTCCAAGTCATTTTGAGCCGTTTCTTTTGGTCTATTCATCATGAAATTCAAACACAAGGTAAAGGGCAAAGGGTATTTTCAGATCAAGTAAAAAAACTGAAAAACGACAAAAATGGAGATACGAGGTTTTCTTCTGACAGCAGCGATATATATAAATATAACTGAGTGCATGTAAACACACTATGTTTCAGGCAACTCACAGAACGCAGCTAGTTGCAAGAAAAGTTTTACCTTGTAAAGCCAGCCTTAGTCCAATCAGCACCAACCAAACACCCATGTTCTGTGACATCACAACTACAACTAACTCAGTCTGGTGCACTAAGTTTACATTTCAAGCCCCAGGCCAGAAAACTGAATGTGCTGGTCTTCCTGTCTACAAAAAATGGTCCATATTTTATAGAAACAAATCACAACTTATATCGCAGTCACACTAATGGTCAGAAAAACACAAATATTTTGCCCAAATTGTTCAGCCCTAGCTGGATGATCCCTCTGTTTTCCCTTACTCTGATAACACAGTTCTATCACCAAGAGGGGGTTACAAATAATCACAAAAATAATAAAAATATCATATAGTCACATTATAAACTGCTCTCAGGTAGCAGGGCCACCTCTGACACAAGCAGAAGGATGAGGAGCATTCCACTGTTTTTATTATTCCAAAGGAATTCCATTATTACAGTACCTGGATGTCCACCTGCCACGGCCAGTGACCTTCTGCAGCATCAAATCCTCCAACGATCCTGGGCAGTAGAGGCGGACGACCACATACTGAAACAGAGGTTTAGTAGATTATGAAAGTGCTATACTTTTTCCTCTGTGGTGGTTTTGCTTTTCAATTAACATCTCAAACACTAAAAATGGCAGGAAAATAAATCTTACTTTTACACTTTTACATACTGTAAACACAAAATCAAGGCCAAGTCATATAAAACTACAGTAGCTCAGGTCAAATTTGGAGGTTTATATAGTGGAGCAAGGCTTGTGTATACATGCATGCAGCACACACCCATTTTAGCACATGCACACACGCTTGCTCACACACAGCTTATCTTGTGTTGGTCACAGTTTCAGTGAAAGTGCTTGGTGCAGGTGAAGTTACATGGAAATACAGCTCAATGTACAAACTGTAGTATGTAAACATTCTTAAAGCTTCTAAACATAATATTCAAGTCCACACATGGAGCCACAAAAGCAGCCTGTTTTGAAGTGTTTTTGTGATGTCACGAAAACAAATTTATTTAAATATGCAGCAGTTTATATGCACCTCAAACATTCAGCCTACAGCAGCTGAAGTAAGGAGTGTTTCAGCCCATCCTGCTTTTGAATGGAGTACAGTACAGCACAGCCAATCAGAACAGAGCTCATTTACTCAGAAGAGCCTGTTTAACTCTAAAGGATAAAGAGAGATCATGTAAAAAGAACTCATGCAGGTTTTGGTACGTAAATCCAACCTAACATTATAAGTGGACTTCAGGGAAAAATGGGATACAGGCCCTTTAAAAGACACTTTAAAAAAGGACATACATACATACAATTTGGGGAAAAAAAGTATGTTTTTTTTTTATACAATTGTTTACACTGACTTGTATAACAAAGTATCCTCCCTGGCCCACTATGGACCATTGACTCCTCTTCAATACTGGCCTGAGGACCACTTGAGGTCTGCAGCCCAGTGCCTGCAATACCTAAAGTGAAGACTGTGATGACCCCTCTAGCAGCATCACAGATGATTTTATATTATATATATATTATATTAATATATATATATATATATATATATATATATATATATACACATAGATAAAAAACCCACACACACCCCATTTTTTGCCCGGCACCTGAAACACTTTCTATTTGTCATTCAAGACATTTACTTGTATTGTATAGCTTTACTTACAGACAGAGAGATTTTCCCCATTTTTACACACATTTTGTAAATTTAAACCACCTAAAGTGGAAATTTAAATTTAATCCCTGAATGAAGTTTAAATCTGAGTTTAAAGTAACGGTGCAACATAATTAAAATTAACACTTACAGAACATTTACAGTAAATCTAGATTAATTCAGGACTAAAGTGACAGTTTAAATGTACCCCTGATTATTTCTAAACTAGGTTTAAAGCTGAGTTCAAAAGGATTAATAGATAAACCTTGATTTAATCCAAGTTTAAACTACTTCCTTGTTGGTGGAACCCACCCTAAACATCATTCAGGTTTGGTGTGAAACGCTCTGTTCTAAAACTTACCGAGTCAGAACTGTTCACAGTGGTGGTGATAGGAACCAGACGTCCACCTCTAAAAGCTCCCTCACAGAAAGTTACTACATGAAATGGTTATGAATGCTGATGCCTTTTTATGACAGTTTTAACAAATTTATACCTTTAAGTCAATTCAGAGGTTCACGCAGGGCACTGTAAGTAGAGAAGGCACAATAACACTTTTCACCTCCGATAGTGAAACTGTGTGAAGCTGGTTTTAATTTCACTTCACTTAAGATGATCTGAAAGTAGGTCATCATGCTGAATCAACTCGATCACTCTATTAACCCCACAGGGAACAACTTCACACAGTGAGAGCGAGTACTGTTACAGGATCAGATCACATTCAGTCTCTTTTATTCTCTCTGATCTCCCTTTCAGAACTTTCTGCTGATATCGGCCTGATACTAATGTGCCACTGCTTACTGTGTGGCACTGCTTACTGCCACAGAGTAAGCAGTCACAAAAGAAAACTCATTCTTAAAGATTTGCTGCTATTTTACTATCATAAGTATTCCATACAAAACTCTGAAGTATGCGGGGGTAGACACTGCCTATTGTCCAGAGCCCCTGGCCACAACATTTCACATTTTTACCACAAAAAAAATGCAGAGCCTCCTGCCAGAGTGGCCGGTTGCCTTAGAGACTTTTTTGCATTCTTTTTTTTTCCTTTAAACAAACAAGTTTGGTCAGATACGGAACTCACTGCATCACATCAGAACATCAGATTTTGTTGGAATTGAGGGGTTCTCAACTTTTTTCATCCCCAATTCCAGCCATTTATCACTAAACAGCACGAAGGCCCACAGGAAAATTAAAAAAATAAATAAATAAATTTGAGGAATTTCAACACAGTAATTTTCAGGTGGCACAACATGGCATGGATATCACTGAACATTATTTTTTTTATACCTGAAATCAGGCAGAACGGTGGCAAACTAACTTAAATTTTTCACTCGCAAGTGAACAACAACTTCCGGGCAGCATATTTTGTTTCTACAAATTTAGACGAAGCTGCTTTACGCACTACTGTTGCATGACTTGTATTAATACTGTTTACTGTTTGGGAACATTTTACATTTCTTTCTTAGTATTAAGTCAATTTTTTTACACTGACTTTGATAACAAAGCACCCTCACTGGCCCACTATGGACCATGGACTCCTCCTCAGTACTGGCCTGAGGACCTCTGCAGTCCACTTGTGGTCCACAGTCCAGTGGTTGCTAATGTAATGAGCAGTTTCTCTACAATTAACCATTTAACACATTTCACACCAAACCACTCTGGATGACTCTGTTTACCTCTCAACCACTGAAGTATGCAGGAATTTTGAAAAATTGGTGGAATTCCCCTGCTTTGTGACAACACCCGTTGTAAAAAACGCCATATAAATAAACTTTGCTTGCTTTCGTTAAATTTAATTGAATGGCCAGTTTTGAAAAATCTAACTGGACTTTGAGGGCTGCGCTGTTCGGATAGCTCTACTGGACAAGGACAGCTGGTCAACACACACACACAATCACAGCAGGTCATTCACTCACCTTGTGCTTCACCTGTCCAGAGACCTAAAAGTGGCGCGAGGAACAGCAGAGAAAAGAAACAGAGGAACAGAAGCTCGTCAGTTCACACAGTCTGACCCTTAAACACCACTTACTGACCAGATTACATACAAATAACTCCAGCTAACCTGCCAACACCAGGAAAACAGCCCAGCGAAACCGAGCACACCGCATCATCCCCGCCCTACAGGAGAGCTCAGTCCCGCGCGCTCAGCCCTTCTCCAGGTAAACCAGGTAAAGATCCAGCCGGCTTGGACAGTTTTAGGGGGAGTTCTCAGTTAAGTGAGTATAAAGGCCACAGGAAGCCTCCGCTGACCCCGCTCTGACAGGGGAACCTGCTAATAATACAACTGTCCCGAGTTTCGATGAGGAGAAAAGCTGAGAACGAAACGAGTTTCACAGAGAAAAAAAACAACCGCCTCAGCCAATCACAGCACTTTCTGCGTCTCACCTGAACCGCCTGCGCTGCTCTCGCGCTACTCTCGCGATTTTGGCGACTAATGGGCGGCTCCACGAAAAACTACTTTTTTTATAGAATTTTTTAACAATGAAACAAAGAAATATGTACTCAGCTACTAAAGGTGGCATGCTGAATAATTTTGTAATAAGGTCTGGCTAATGTATTAATTTGTGGCCTCAATATATTAATTCCTGGCCTCAATGAAGTAACTCATATATAGTAATTTGTGGCCTCAGTATAGGAACTTGTGGCCTCGATATGCCTCAAAATATTAATTTGTGGCCTCAATATAGTAACTTGTGGTGTCAATATATTAATTCTTGGCCTTAATATAGTAATTTGTGGCCTCCGTACAGTAAGTCATGTCCTCAATATCTTAATTAGTGGGCATGCTTCATTAAAAAATAATTAACATATCAGTTCAGGGACTCCAAGGGACAAATATTGATTAAACAGTTAAAAATGTGCTTCAATATCAAATTTTTTAAATATTCTTTCACATGTAATACATTTTATGATCTGACTGCCAAAGAAGTCACCAGCATCAACGCCCTATAGGACCCACTCCCATCATGATGAAGTGCTTCGAAAAGCTGGTCAGAAATCACATAACATCCAGACTCCTGACAACACTCGACCCACTCCAGTTTGCATACTGCCCTAACCGCTCCACTGATGATGCCATATCAGCAGCACTTCACCTGAGTCTGGCCCATCTGGAGAATAAGAACAGCCATATGTGGATGCTCCTCATTGACTTCAGCTCCGCCTTCACTACAGTCATCCCCATGCACTCGGTAAGGAAACTCGGCTCATTAGTCATCAACACCCCACTGTGCAACTGGTTACTCGACTTCCTCACAGACAGACCCCAAACAGTTCGATTCAGAAGAAACACCTCTAAAACCATCATCATGAACACTGGAGTTCCCCAGGGCTGTGTGCTGGGCCCTCTGCTGTTCACTGTTATGACTCATGACAGTGGGCCTCATCAGCAACGACGACGACTCAGCCTACAGAGGAAGTGAACCAACCTGTCACTGAATGTTGACAAGACAAAGGAAATTACTGTTGATTTCAGGAGGAAACTTTCAATCCATGGTAACGCTGTGGAGTCAGTGAGAAGTACCAAGTTTTTGTGAGTGCACATCATGGACAACCTGACATAGACTACACGCACCAAGAGGGCACAGCAGTGCCTTCACTTCCTATGACGGAGGAGAAGAGCAAACCTCCCCCCTCCTATCCTCACAACTTTCTACAGAGGCACTATAGAGAACATCCTTACCAGCAGCCTCCCAGTGTGGTATCCAGAGAGCGGTGAGGACGGCAGAGAGGATCAGCAGAACACACACACTGAGACTGTCTGGGCACTTCTATTAGAGCTCTGTCTTCTATATAAAAAGTGTTCTCATCACTTGAGCACTTTATCACTATTCACCAGCATCGAGTGTACGTTTCCTGTTACACTGTGCAATAATACTGTCACTGAGAACAATGTGCAATATTTTTTCTATATAATGTGCATTATTTCTTATATATGAATGAGCGGCACGGTGGGCAGTGGGTAGCGCTGGGTTCGATTCCCCGGCCGGGTTACGTTTCTGTGTGGAGTTTGCCTGTTCTCCCCGTGTCTGCGTGGGTTTCCTCCGGGTGCTCCGGTTTCCTCCCACAGTCCAAAGACATGCAGTCATGCATTTTATGTCTGTCTAAACAGTCTAGTATGTCTATGTACAGTTGCTGTTATATTTATGTATATTTTGCATATCAGAGTTGGAGAAATGCAGTCTCATTCAGCTATGTGCTCCTTGTTGTTTAGTCTGAATGACACTGAAGTTCACTTTGACTTTGACTTGATTTTAAGAGTTTTCCTATATGTTATTTTCCTCACATCAGGGCTCATTTTACACTTTTCACATCCTTTAATCCTTTAACATGGTTCAAATAGACTTAAGCATTATCACATGTGACCACATAAGCTTGTTCCCTTAACAACTCAAATACAGACATCTGCCTTTAGAGCCCTGCCCACTCACACTGATGTTATCAGGAGTGTTTCCGCTCAGACTGCACTTGGAATAAGGCAGCCGGACAGAACAGAGCTCATTTGCAGATATCAGTCTTAAAACAGCCTGTTTAATTCTGAGGGATGAAGAGAGGCTGGAAAATAGTCATGTAAACATAAATTCTGAATGTTTTGGTACATGAAAGCGTGCAAATATTACATGCAGACCTCATTGGAGGAAATAAACACTAGTAAAAGCAGGATGGGGGTGTTCGAAATTAAAATGTTGCAAGTTTGGACTCTTTCACACCCAAGTGGGCTAACTTTGAAGGAAAATGTGATCATTTTCTTGTGGCTTTTAGTGATTTCTTCACAGTGGTGGTGATAGGAACCATGGGTCTCCATGACTACAACGCAAATATGGACATTTTATTTACTATCCAAAACCACCAGTGAACCTACACGAGTCTTCTGAATTTTATACGGAATGTTGATGATGGCAAAATTGTAGAAAATCTAAAAATAAGGCTTCTTTGGGGACCAAATGATTGAATACTGCAGACTTTTTTGTAAAAGTCAGTCAAATTCCCCTTTAAGCTGAGGGCAGGGCTGTAGGGTGTTTGTTTGGGCCTAGTTTTGGGTTAGGCCTCCTTCCAGACCTAACTTTGCTATAAAGACGCAGACCTGACTGACCACATGAAGGCCAGATATGAGCTTAATATGGAAACATAGGCTTAAAGGCTGCAATTCAAAACAACGTGCATGTGAGACGTCTTTGATATGCAGCAGTGACCGCAGAAGAAAAAGTGTTCGGAATGTGGAACATCCAGTCAGACGGGTAGCCAGCGCTCTGTGACCGTGTGCAGGAATATCCTTGGCTTCTTCTAAAGACCAAACACTCACATGATGGTGAAAAAACAAACAGAGACATTCAGCTCCTTCTCATAAACATCAGCCTTAGAGGAAATAGAAGAGCTCAGAACTTTGTGTTTGGTTGCTGAGGTTAAGTTTAGTGCTGGGTTAAGTGGCGCATGGCAGCATTTATCTACAATAATAATCCTTATCACACACATTTCACATGACAGTAATCATCACAGGTGTTTTTTAGACACTTTGTATATGTTTTCACATGAGGACTTTTAACATGTAATACATATTATTTAATTTACGTATTTTTAAATACGTATTTAATTTAAGAGTATTTAATTTCATATTTAATTGTCTCACATCATGGCTCATATTTACACTTTTCACATTCATTTCATAGATTGTCATGGTTTAAATGGATTTTTACAAAAAACGTTACTTTTTTACATACGTTTTTCACACTGAAACAAAGAAATATGTACCCAGCTGCTATGGTGACATGCTGATGAGTTTTTTAATAAGACCTGGCAAATATATTAATTTGTGTCCTCAATAAATGAATTTAAATAAAGTAACACTTGGCCTCAATATATTAATTTGCGGCCTCAACATAGTAATTTGTGGCCTCAATGTGGTAATTTGTGGCCTCAATATAGTAACTTGTGCCCTCAGTATAGTAATTTGTGGCCTCAATATAGTAACTTGTGGTATCAGTATATTAATTTGTGGTCCCAACATAGTAATTTGTGGCCTCAATATATAAATCCATGGCCTCAATATAGTCATTTTGTGGCCTTAATATGGAAATTCTCCCAGTGTGGATTCTAAGATTTAATAATAAAAATGTTTTTTTATTCAGGATTACAGGAACATAGAATAGATAAAAATAGAGAAAAATGTTAGAGACCCACAGGTTGTCTTCCTTATCTAACATAGGCTTAGTCAAAGCAGTCATACCTTTATGCCAATTATATGGAAATTAGACAGTCTAAATATACAGTTGGTGATTCATATTACATATCAGATTGTTACACTGCAGACTTGAACTTCAGTTTCATTGATGTGACTTCACCCAGTTATACGCTGATGGAAATACCCAGTTCCAGGCCTTGAACCACATACTGTAAAACACAATAACCGCACTGACTTATTTTTTTGGTTTACTTCACTAATTTGTTGAAAATACTAACACAAATCTAGTAATATGTACTATTTGTACACTTGTATACTCCTTAGTTACTAAAGTTAAGATCAGTTATTTAGGATAAGTCCATAGGGCCCATTTCAATTCTCTCTTAACTCGCCCTTAACTTCAACTTAGCACTTGAATGCTCACTCTCCGCTAGTTTAGCCTCAGTGAGCTAATCGGCTAGCCATTAAAACTTTGCAAAAGCAAAACATTTTGTAAGAAGTTTGAGCGTAACGTATGTAACGTGTGTGAGTGATTTGTCTGACTATAAATTTGAAGTAGAGCTGTGCTGCAGTGCCTTTCTTTTTGTTTGTGTTAGCTGTGTAGCCGTTACCACGCTAACATGCCAGCTAACATAGTAAAGTGTTACAGCACACTGCAAAAAAATGGTATCTTGTCAAGCAAAATGATCTTAAATCTAGTCAATATATCTAATATTTCCCATTTTGAGATGGTTGTGCATTGATTATAGGATTATAAGATTATTTATCAATGATTTTATCAAGTAATTTTATCTCACTATACTGGCTGATAATTTTGCTGGTTTCAAGCACATAGTGAGATAAATTTACTTGATACAATCACTTAAAACACATAAACACATGTCTAGAAATTAGTTAAATAATCTGAAATTAAGCTTACAGCAATCCCAACAGGCAAAATATTAGATTTATTGACTATATTCAAGATAACTTTACACTTAAAGCCCAGCTAATCAAATGTTATAGTTTTGAAATGTTAAGCATTTAAAAGTAGTTTAATGCTAAAACTAATAATCAGCTTTGTCTGGCATTATTTTCAGGTTTGTAAAGTGAAATGCGTCACGTCGCAATGATTTCTGACAAATTTCTGCTGCCGAAGTCGACACTGGTGTCCGCTCAATCCCTCACCCCTCCAAGGGCTCATCTAACACCCTTCAATTGGGC